GTAGTAAAGTTAAATCGTATGGCTCGAAAGGCAGGATTCAATACAAGACCAGTCACATCGCCAGTTGTTCCTGTTGGGAAAGAACGTTTAAGATTTTGTATATATGCTGATAATACCGAAGAAGAAATTCTAAAATTATTAAGTGTTATTGAAAATTTTTTCATAGAAGATAGAAGAATAAATGATATTCAGATTTCAAAGCTCTAGGATCTATAAATATTATTATAAATACGTATTTTATTCACACACCTGTTAATGTTAAGCTTATTCGAAGAAAAGTATATAGCAGGCAAGTTTTCAAGTTTACATTCTTGTATTTGACGTTTTATAATTTTTTGGCTTGTTATCCTTGTCATATTTGATATATATTTAACTATTCTTTCGTGTGTTAAGTATTTGCAGCTGCAAAAAAATCATATAACTGATAATATGATTTAAAACCATTTTGATATAAAATTTTATTTAATTTATTATTATCATTATTATCACATAATATAACATATATATAAATTTAATATAGTATAATAAAATATATATTTTAATATTTGGCTTAACAAATAGTTTCTTATACTTGTAATCTAAAAGAAATTAAATTGTAGAACATTTAAATAGTTATTTAAAATATTTAGATGAATATTTATTAATTGTTCTTTATGCCTTATGAAGTAAAAATAAAATAAAATAGCAAAAAATATTTGTAAATTTCTTATATTAAATGATTAATATTTCTTATACTGTCACGGCCACAAGCGGTTCTACGGCGAAAATTGGCCCTGGAATTGTGCAACAAGATCTATGGTATCATCATACGGCATGATTCGGGTTTACTAGTTAATAGTTTAATGCGTGGAATCGATCAAGGCGCATAAGGAATATGAGATTAAGAAAGAGTCGAATATTAAGTATATAAGGAACCTCTTCGCTTACAAAAGGACGTAACTTAGTATAGCTCAGTCATGGATGGTTACGACTCTTATGTGCGTGGTAGGGCACACGAGGAAATACAAAAAATACTTTCTCTCAAAAGCTCTTAAACGACGTATTAGGTGAGACATAATAATCCCGGCGATTTTGGAGTTCTACCATTAGTGGTCAGAATCGACCGTGACATATACACATGCTAGATTAAGATAAATAAAATAAAATGAAATAATAAATATATATATAAGGTTAAATACTTAATAAATACTGAGATTCCTAATTTTCTATATGGGTTTACAAACTGATCGGCTATAAAATCGATCGTGATTATCATTTAGATCGAAAAATCCTGGAGCTACGACTATCCATTTTTTTCATAGAGCTGCATTGATTAATAGATTATAGATAATATAGCGAAATGTTCATAAACACTGGCTTTACAATTTGATTTGAATATTAATTAATTAAGAGGCTCATTTTTATATCCGAACGTTAGAAATTCATTCGTTTTTTGTTTTTGACGATCATTTAATACGATATCCAATGAAATTAAGAAAATAGAAATTCACTCATATAATGGTTAAAAAAAATCACATTTTTTAACCATCATTTATTATTATCATAGCATTTTAACACACATACGTATGTACGTCATGTGCTAACTTACATAGTACGTACGTGCAGGAAATTCAAAAACCTCTATATATGTAGATATGATGCATAAACTAGTAGCACATCGAAAATAAATTCCCTAAATTAATAATCTCAATAAACGAACTCTCAATATCTTTGCATAAATAATAAGCAAAAAAACAATATGTACTTAATAGCATACTACTGAGAATGACAAATTTAGTTTATCTCCAATGAGTTAGTTAAACTTTATTCTATATAAAGTGATCGAAGTTTTTAGATTTCCCATTTCTGAATTCCGAGATTATAGTTGGTAAACCTCAAAAAAAAGAAATTTCAACAATGGTTGCTGATCGTTGATTTCCTTTTTTTGAAGTTACAATCAACTATTCTATTTAATCATACTATACACTGTTTCCTACAAAATCGAGAAAAAAAAATCGAAGTTAACGCGAACCAATGATGCTTACAGTACACGTAAAATTTGTTATAAATCAAATCGTTTATTTAATTAATTTTATATTTATTTTTACGATCTATAACGTACCATTTGTCAAAATACTTTGTTTTTCCCTGAAAATAAATAATTTAAGAATTCTAAAGAATTTTCTCTATCTGCTGCTTACAGAAACTCTTATTTATTTTCGGAAATATTCCCATCTTCATTTTTATTGGGTAATTTTCTTTAATCGATTAATATAAAGTTGATACGTAACAATGTTCAAAATTATTATTTTCAAATTCAAATTCATAAATTATACCATTTTATTTACAACCACCGTTGATATAATAATGGGTAATAATAAATTATCAAATTTGCGCATAAAAAATAAGGTCATTAGGACTAGAAATCCTTTAATTAGAAAGTGTAATAGGTGTAAGAGACCAAGGCTTCATAAACATGACAATGCTAAGCAGTGTCACGTTTGTGATAACTTCATATTAAGCGGAAATGAAACTATAGACAAATGGCTTGCTGAAATAAATAAGATAAATCGCAGTCGACATGTTTTTATAGAATTTATTCCATATAACCAATTTAGTGATATTACTTATCTTACCGAAGGAGGGTTTGGTAAAATATTTAGTGCAAAACGTTTTCATGGTTTAAAAAGTTATTGGAGCTCTAGGGACAAAAAGTTCCTGAATTTGAATAGTAATAATAATAGTATGACAGTTATTCTTAAAAGTCTTAATGATTCTAAAAATATAAGTCGTGATTTTTTAAATGAGGTATGCATTGTTACAAATATTTATTAATATAACTTTTAAACTTCATTAGTTAACATACATTCTTTATTTTAGTTAAAAAATTACTTTCAATGTTCAAGTCTCGATAATAATTTTATACTAAAATATTATGGCATCACGCAGCATTCCGAAACAAAAAATTATATGATTGTAATGGAGTTTGCGGAAAAGGGTGACTTACATAGTTATATTTCAAAAAACTTTCTTGCTTTATCTTGGAATAAAAAACTAGATATATTAGGAAGAATAGCACGGGGGCTCTCTGAAATTCACCGTAAAAAAATGATTCATCGAGATCTTCATAGTGGTAATACTGTATACTTGTTCATAATGATGTTATTAGTTATAGTTATGCAGATGTTAAAATCGGTGATTTTGGAATAAGTAAACCAGCAAATTCAATAACAGACGCAAAAGAGATATATGGAGTGATTCCATATATTGCTCCTGAAATATTCATTGGTAAAAAATATACAAAAGCTTCAGATATATATAGCTATGGAATGATTTTGTGGGAAATGATAACTGGTCAAAAGCCTTTTTCTGATCGTAATCATGATGAAATTCTTATTTTGGATATCCTTAAAGGTCTTCGTCCTAAAATATTTAATGATTTACCAAAGACTTATATTGATTTAATGGAAAAATGTTGGGATGCTAATCCGTTAAACAGACCAAGTGCTGATAATATTAAGAGTTCCATTGATGACATTATTCAGAAATTAGATAAAAAAGAAATATATTTCCCTGAAAATAGAATACTCCCATCTATCAAAAATGTAAACGCATATACGAGTAGACTGTTAAATTCTTTGAGTAACACTGCACTATTGATGATGTCAAAAAATAATACTGTTACCGGTAAATAATGCTAAAATTACGTATATTATTTTCAAATTAAAATATACATATACTTACTTAAATATATTATTTATAAATAAACAGATTATTCCATCTTATCAAACACCCATTTGATAAATAATGTGAAAAGTGGTAAGTATTAATAATAATTTAGTTAGATTATTTGAGTCATTTAAAATAAATCTTATTAGAAGTTTTGTTTAATTTTATAGACAAAAAAAGGTATGATTGATGGCATTTTATATTTTAAATTTTCAACGCATATATGTTTATGTAAATAATAGTGTTTGTTAGTTAATATAAATAACTTCAATTCGAAATAGACAATTTTCAATGGACAATTTTCTTTGTAACAAACAAACGTTGAACCAGCAAGAATTGGCATCCTCCTCTTGTTCTAATCCTAATATCCTAAAAAGACGTAAACCTTATGAAAATAAATTAACTGACAATGGTATGCTAAAATAAACAAATTTATAACTTAAAATAATGATTATTAATATGAAATTTATATAGTAGGCATTGATAATAAAAATAAAAGACAAAAAATATAAGAGAAAATTCACAATAAGGTATAGTTCTTATAATATTTAATAAATGTTGCTTGCATGTTTACTAAAAATTAATTGTTAAAATTTTAAATTATCTAGGAAATGAGAAATTGAGTTTGATATTAGTCGATACAATTTATAAATATATTCTAGAAAAATTTTAGTATTAGATAATTATTATTATTATTACTTTTGTAAAGTACTAAACAGCAAAAAAAAACCCCAATATTTATATATAAAATGTAAAAAGTTATAATGCTTAAGTTATATGTATAAAAATTTGGTGTTTAATATACTGTATATATAATATTATTAACTAATTAAAACAATTGTATAAATTTGATTAAATAGAATTTCAACTTATTTTATTAACTTGGTTAAGAAAATTTTTTAAAATTATTAAAAAATTTTAAAGTAATAAAATTTTTAAAGTTTTTTTTGTCTTAGAATTTTTACTACAAAGTTTTTTAATTTTTTTTTTTAAATTTTATATAATTAAATTTAAAAATTTTTTTACTTCTAAAACAAATTCTAATTTTTATAATTAAATCACAAATAATATAATAATAAAGTTGTTATCTTTACTATAATCTATAATATTGCGTTAAGAATAATAAATCCAAAACTGATATTAGATTAGAAGATTTTTATAGTTAAATTCAAGAAAAATTTGTTCTAAATTTAAAATGATTTAAGAGATAGTATAATTAATATTTATAGTATTTTATAAAGTAAAATATAAAAGAATCCTTCCATCCCCGTAAAGTTATAAAACGTGTAGTTTTTGCTTTTGTAAAATAATAACTAATGTAATATAAAACATATAGTAGTAAATAGCTACACCTTTGACGAGCTGCCTTATCGTCTTAATTCTTCATTTTTATTATATAGACTAAGAACTCTACAATTATTATTAACCATCAATTAAGTGATCAACGGAGACGCATGAATAATGTGTAATTAAGAAAAGTCAAACAATGTGTGGTAATTAGGGATAGTTAAATACCATATGATTAATTATGATGTAAAGTCAGGTATCGTATGATACCGAATTATGATGTAAATTAATTTAGAGTCAAATTCAGAGTATAAAAGAATCAAAGAAAAATAAAAAAGAAAGGGGGATACCTTTCGCTTTCGTAAAGAAAACATAATAAACCCGTAAAATCCATTTTCTAGTGAGTAAGTGACGTGTGGCCTTGTTTCGCCAGTATAGACCTACGTAATGAGGGCTACGACATATAGCACCTTAGATTTTGATGGGTAAACCGTATACTGAAGCACCAGATATTTACAGTCTTGGAGTTATCGCAACTGAGGTTTCGACCGGGAAAAGAGCATTTGATGGAATTCCGTTTAATGGCAATCTAGTATCAAAAATTATCGATGGATCAAGGCCTAAATGTTTAGGACCAGATTATTATATTAAATTAGCTATGAAATATATTGTCACGATGATAACCAAACCCCTGTATATTACATTCGAGGAATGTTGGGTTTGGAAGACTGGGGATCTGATTGTGAATTGAGTTTACAATGTCACGTGTGCACATGGTGCCCGTGATAGTCAGGGTAATCAGGTAGATCAGTGATCTAATGCATGAAGTTTATTTGTAATTTGTATGTCATAAAAGCGTAGTTTATTATAGTTACGCATAATCTAGCATTAAAAATGTAGTCATCGATTGATGGAACCTATTTGTAGTAAAATAGAAATTCGATATAAAAGGAATAAAGAGATTCTTGAATGAATCCAGCTTTTTCCACGACTCTAAAATAAACGTTCTTAGCAAGAAACAGTAAACATAGTTACCGAATTGTATGTGCCTGGTAAATCATCCAGTGCAAAGTGAGTGCTTGATATTAGGTAAAACCAACCTAAAGCCCCATAGTTAAGTATCCCTGTAACATATATGGATAAAGATATTGTTAAACAACCTACTGCAACTGAACTTGATGAAATAATCACTCGTTGGTTGAATGAAATTGATCAGGAAGATGATAATGAAATCAAAAATCAATCTTTTAAAGCTAATAATATTAAACCAGAGCCAATTAAGCAAATACATTCACAAGATTTATATACCAGCAAGTTATATGACACAAATAAGTTTTCAGAATATATTAATACTGTAGAAATCCTGAGCAGATTTTCAAATTAGATTTAAATTAACTATATAGGCTAGGTGCTGGAAAAAGGAACGAAATTGACAAAAAAAAAATTCCTCGGAAAATCAATTATTATGTTATAAATCCTATAATAGATCATAAGAAAACATAAAATTTTAAAGAGCTATACTGCAAAATTTTATTAATACAACTATTTTGTGCCTTAAATGAAAAAGTCGTAATCTTATTCTAAAATCGATTTATGTAAAAAACATTATTTTGAACAATTATCAATTTCGTCTCTTATTCCATATTTCTGTATCAAAAATTTATTACATAAATAAATATTTTTTCTCACTTTATCTATAAATTTTAGTTTGCACATCGCATCCTAAAATAAATTTTTATTCATATATCCCAGATGTCATTTTAACCAGAGCATTTTTATATCATGTATACCGGTATAGATTAAATTTTTTAGCCAGGTGTCGTTATAATCAGAGTGACTTATAATTTGCGTCTTGGTATTATTCTTTGGATAAGGCCTTTAACCCAATTTTATCTTATTTTATGTCCCAAATATCTGTTGAAAGTCTTTTATTTAAACATCTAATAATGTATTTCTAATCATTATAAAATTGTTTAAACGATAAATTTTCATTTTTATTGACTATTTCGAGCTATTGAAAGCAACCTATTTTATCTTAGTCTTACTTTCTTGTCCAGTACAAAAACGACCAACATTAAATTTCAGCCCTAAAAGAATTTAGTGTTGTGAAATTTGTATGTTTATTATCTAATTTTATGCCAATTAATAATTTGCTGATTTGGGAATTTAATTATTACATTTACATCGAACCTTTATATGGATGCCAGCCCTATATGAAAAATGTATTGTAATTGTACGAGTTGGCATGGATTTTGTATGTAAGAGGCTCAGATTTTTAGCTCGTGTTGGACTGTATACCGGTGTCAAGAAACTGTTAATGACTTGGGTTTTGCAAAACTTTAATATTGCATATTTTTTCTAAATATGAGTTCCAAATATGAATAATTATTTGTTTATGAGAACTGTTGTGAAATTGAACAATGTTAACAGCTTAATAAACATATTTATTAAATGATTAGTAAGATATAAAGTAAACCTTCATTTTAAATTTTGAAAAAACTTAATAAATAAATATTCATATAATGCAAGCTTTTAAGAAAAGTAAAAACATCATGCTATCTATAAGTGCAAAAAAATGTTAAATTACACAAATAAGGAGCAGTCTTCATTATTTGATAACATAGATAATAAGCTGAAAATTAGCTTCGGTCAATTTTTTCATTATTACTGTAGCAAGCATCACTACGTACAACATTTGTGATTTTAGTTTTTTAATGCATATTTAGCTAAAACAATAAGCACAGTGTGAGTAGATATATATTGCATTGCTATTCTTGTAAGCAATACAATGATTAGAACCACATAAGCTAAAAATCTAAACAATTATTAGAATTTGATTCTTTAGTAATATTATTAAAATCCTTGAGATTTTGTTTAGATAATTTAACAGCTATTTTAAAGAAAAAAAATCAATTATTCAGCTTCTTGCAATTGTTGAACTTAAAACACATAAGGTTTCCTACAGGGTTTGTAGTATGAAATATTATTTAGAATATTATAACTAATTAGATCACAGTTGACATCAGGTAGAGTACATTTTTGCTATGAATAAATTTCATCAGTCATAATCTAGTCTGATCAATTGGTCCCATCACCTAAGCATATAAATCAGAGTCTTGAAGCTTTAAAAATTTTTGCACCATTACCATATCCAACAGGATAAACAGTATATGATTGCCAACCTTTCTTTGCATAATTCTATTTTTCACTTATTATGGACTACTATCAATTACCATTTAGAAGTTTACTCTGTATTTGCTATCTTTGCTTCATCTGTGGTATTTTTTGTATTTCGAAGCCAAAGATGTACCTATATTTGGCAAAAGTAATCTCCAAAGATGTTATCATTGATATTAACAGATATTATATTTATTACAATATCTGTCAGTAATAAGTAGTAAATAATACATACCTGCCATTCTTTCTTGTATGATTGTCATTTGCATATTACAACAAAATGCTCAACAGTGGGTATATATAAACATCCTGAATATTCTTTTATAAATTTTTTATATTTTTCTAAAGATATGTCATTACTATACTTGCTAATTTTTTTATGAATAAGTAATATATAGGTTCTTTTTGATGGATCAAGAGATTTAGATTCAATTAAGTAATGATATGCAATTATATTTGTAGTAAGCTCATCACCATCTGAATACCACTCAGGATCAATAATATAATAAAAAACCAGATTACACTTAGAATTATCCATTGTTGGAGGCCAAACAAAGTTTGTACTAGCAAAGTCTAAATAAAAAGATAAATATTAATAAAAATTTGATTAATTAATAGTTCATTTATACAAAATACGCACACTCTTCCCAATGATCATTTTTACCACAAAAAAAATCCAAAATTCTTAAAAAACTAGCGTTCATAAAACAGGGAAGAAGTCCTTAAGCTCCGTAACTCAGCAGTTGTTACTTAGAGGTAGTTCTTATATGCCACCTGCTAACTTCCTCAGAGTTTATTACTCACCACTGGGGCCGGGCACTTGTCGTTTAGAAATAGTTCTCATACGCTATTTGCTGACAAGCCCAGAGTTTATTACTTACCTGAAAAAATAAGGAGAGTACTTGAGCCTTCCTATGGATTCAGTGTGTTGAGTAAAGAAAATACACACTTTTTTTCTAAACAAAATAAAGTATTTTCGTCTCTTTTCTCGCCTCCTCGCCGCTCTTTCAAAATTTTCCACAAAAGTGGGCAAAATGGTTTACCCCCTCCAAAAGATTAGTATTGTTTACTCCTCCCAAATCTAAACAGTTCTGGCAGACTGCGATTATGTATCTGATTTGTTTTGTTTATAGACCGTGCTGCTTCACGTAATACTGAGATTGGCCGCTTACATCGTTTAGGAGTCCGGATGACCAAGTCAGAAATTTTACTTAATAAGGCAAAGCTTTACAATAGAGATATACAAATATCATATTTGTTATATAATTTTTTCAGCCTAGCACGGGTTATAGTAGTGCCAAAAAAGACAGAATTTTTTGCTGTCCTTTTTGTTTTCTTTTTTTGTAATTTTTTCTTTTATATTCCCTTTCGTATTTGTTTTCTTTTTATATATTCTTCTTTGTTTTTTCTTTTTCTTTTTGTTTTTGTCATTTTCGTTTTATTTGTGTTTTTTGTTTCTTACCTTATTTGTTTTATACCTCTTTGAAGAAGGAAAAATGTTAAAAAAAAAGGCAATCTTGACAAAGCTAGCAATAAGCTTTTAGTGATTTTTTCGGGGAGTCATCTAGCAAGTTAGATGCTGGAGATAAATAAATTATTGCTGCAGCAGATCGCACTTAGGCACCATTACGAGCAGCCGAGTGAGTCTTTATTGAAGAGTAGGAAGGTAGAAGGCATTGAGTTTATTGAAGGCTTTTTGTTCAAAAACTATGTATTTAGATTATGCACTCCTAATACAATAAAGATAGGATTGCCAAATTAAAAAAAAAAATTTTACATTACTAATAATTTATTATAATCCAATATAGATATTTATAGTTGAGGAGTTTTCTTTTAAAAATAACAGATTATGAACAGTATCTGCATTTAAGCAATTATGTTTATCTGTAATTGTGTTTCCTGTATTAAAAATAGCTGTTATAAGAGTACAGAAGTTGCTGTTACTTCTAAAAAGATCTGTGCTTGTTTAGCAAGAAGAAATAATGCACTTTTATGCTCTTTCTGCCAATGTAAAGAGTTATATTCTTTATAAAGAGAATCGTTCAAATCATACTTTTGAATCTGTGACATTGAAAAATATATTTGCAGCTCATTATCTACTGGAAAAAAAGAAGCAGTTTCTATATCATCTTCAAAAAATGAAGACATATCTATATCTGATCTTTCACTTATATTTAAGGAACTGTTTTCTTGATTAGAAAATCCAATTCTGTTACGTAACTCTTTTGTTACTTCTTTTTACATTGTAGAGGATACAGCAGATAATGACTTGAAACAGAGATCAAGGATTGTAGCAAGCTATCCAACTATTTTTGGTTCTTCCCATCTGGCTACTATTGATTCATAAAGACTTCGGTAAGTTGCAATAACTGATAAATATATAAGCTGTCTTTCTATTTCATTCAAATTTTTAAAAAATTGATATATTGTTAAATACATCATACTTAATGTAGGATATTGATCACCACCCATAAATACTAATGCATATGCAAAAGGATGCAATAAACAATATAATTTATCTAACTCTTCCTATTCTTCTTTAGAAAGTATTTTTTCTTTTAGAATATTATTATTATTATGAATTTCTTGATTAGGATCATTGGTAAGACTAGTGGATAATTCAGTAATTGCATTTTGAAGTTTAAGAAGTCTTTGAAGAATTAGATAGATAGAATTCCATCTAGTAGCAGTGTCACTTGAGATGGGTTCTAATGCATACATATTAACTGTAGACTATTTTAAATAATTTATTATATAATTTAGTATATGGATTAGAAATTTATATAGTAGAGAGGATAAGCCTTTATAAAAATAGAAAAATATTCTTACTGTATTGATAAGTTTTTTTTTCAATTATATCTAGCTGAATTTTTTGAAAACGTACTCTATATTTATTATGATTAATTAAAAAATCATTCATTTTTTTTGCTTGTTCGATTAATGTTTCACTTTCTTTTAAACTATTCATAATCATGAGATGTATAGTGTGTGCTGTACAACCAATATGTGTTGCTTCTAATTGTCTAATTGCTTTTTCATAGATGGTGTGTTGTCTGAAACTACTACGTTAAGCTTATTAAATATTTCCTATTCTACAAGAACCTTACGTAAGAAATCTTCAATTTGATCGCCTATAGTAAGTAAACATTTGTATATAAAGTTACAATTGTATAAAACTTTAATTTACTAAACTTATACAACTTTACCTGTGTGTGGATAATCAAAATGCTCTATAGTAATTAAAAACTTAAATATAACAAAATCTTCTAAAAGCCAATATGCTGTCACACTGATATATGGAGTGTGATTTTGAGTTCAAAGATCTGTTGTAATATATACAGAGACCATAGTTTGTTACATTATTTTTTTTAAAGTAGAACGTGTATAAAATACTGACTCTATTATTATATTTTTAACCATATTAGTGTATGAAACTTTATAGCATGGATTAATTTTATAGCAAAAATCTTTAAAGTGATCATGATTAATGCAATCTAATGGCATCATTGCTTCAACTATCCAAGCAACCAATCAACAAGAAATTCTATATTGTCTTTTTTCAGGAAGAGGTTGAGTATCTTCTACATATTTTTGAATTAATATATCAATTGTTGGCTGTATAGTATTTGGAGTTATAGTATCTGAGGATATAGATGACTGCATTTCCCATTTTTGATTTTTGTAGATTCGATGTTCAGTATGTAAGTGAGAAGCTATACTGGTATTTAACATTGTAGATTCAAATTCTTTATCACACTTTACAAAAATACCATTGCCATTATCTACAAAAACCATACAATATTTTTTTTGTTAATTTATCATGATGGGCATATTGCCATATCCAGCTTTTTATAGGTCTTTTTTTAGTTATTTTCAGTTTACTTATTTTAGAAATTGTATTAGACGATTTTTTAGATACTTTACTTGAAGGAAAAAAAGCTGTAATAGGTAAAGATTTATTTGTATTCTTCTCAGCTTTATTGCTATCATATGAACTATTCTCTTGTTTATATAGTACATCATTATCACTAATATTAACAGGTTCTTTAATCATATTAATGATTTTTAATTTCTTAATCTATACTTTTAGTAATAGAAAAGAGTAAATAAAAAATGAGCTTTTTTTAAAAAAAATTTACAATTTAGCCAAAGATGTATATATACAATATTATATGAGTTCAGCTACTTAACCATTTATTAATGAATGGCAATACGAATAATAATTTAAGTTACAAGAAACTATTCAATAATACTGTTTATGATTTTATTGAGTAATTGCTTAATTACGAAGAAAACTATAGTTTTTGAAGGTAAAAAATATTGTCTTTAAATACAAATTCTCTATTAAATATATTTTATCTGTAACTAATTCTAATATATATTTTTTCTCATCTTTTCAAATACCAATATCTTGTTGCTGAGACCTATAACACTACAATGATAAGGCTTTTTATTGTTTTGCTATACTAATATAAAAAAAACTTCTTATTTGCTACATATTTAATTATTTTTGTTCATCATCTAGAAATTCATATTGTTTTGTTTATTTATTTATGATAATTTAACAATATTAATGATAACTAACCAAAATTAGTATGGTTAGGTTTTAGCAGTATATTATGTAGTTTAGTGTTATTTAATACTCTTTGAGAATGTTTTTGCAATATTTCAACAGATGCTAAAAAAGTCAATCAAAGCATTTGTTAAAAATGATGCAATATTTTATTTATTTGCAAATAGAAAAACTTTATCTATCAAATTATATTATATTTACTAAAAGTTATGCAATTAAAAAATAAAATATATTTAAGAACACAAGCAATATTATGATTTTGTTTGATATTTTAAATAACAATTCTTGCGCTATGTTTCTTTAAATTTGGTATATTAAATAGAGGTTCTTGTAATCAATTTTTGGTTAGATTGGATCAGTGATTTTTTGGTATTATTGCTATACTTACCTATAATAGTGCTAAGAACATTATTTTGGGCCATATAATTTAGTGTTAATTTAATCGAAGACTCTTAAATATTGATATGTTCTTTGAACATATTAATTATTAGATCTTTAAATTGATGATCCAAATAACACTGTGGGACATTCAGGTAGTTTGAATTGATTACTAACAGATTTGTACATTAAAAATAACATAATTCACGATTTATGTTTGATAATTTAATTTGAAGTATAGGAGTTTACTAATTTCCCACCACTTCTGATTGGTTCTACTAATTATTCACATATTGAAATATCTGTGCTATTACTCAATTTTATAGTACTCTGATAGTGAAGTGGTGGAGAAAATTAGTAAATCCAGAGTATGGTAGCTATATCAGATATGAAATATTATTGGTTAAAGATCACATGTATACAGATTTGAGGTGGAGATATTATAGTCGACCAAGTTGATTTTTTGAAAAATCGACTGACTAAGTCGACTAAATCAACTAAAGGTTAAATCAACTACAAACACTAAGAGGCCGTAAACCATGTATTCTGACATGTATCATTAGACTAGTGATCAAATACCTGAACTT